CCACCCCACCCCGAATGCGTCAGGTCTGAGATGTATGGATGATTAACAATGTTGGTTTGAAGACACAAGTACTGCTGAACTCCTCCGCAGTCACTGACTTTTTCCAGAACACTTGTCCCCACTCTGAGCCGATCCGGTTGGAAGAAAACGCTCCGTACTTACGTTCATCTCATAGTTGAAGCGGTCTGCATTTCGCTTTGTCGGACGACTGTATTCTTCACCGGTTTCCCGAAAATCTCAGACCTGAAGTATTCAGCCAAACCAAAAGCGCGTTGCTAACGTCAGTTAAGTGCAACTTGTAACGACTGACAACCTTGACTTAAATGAATAAATAAACGTCTTTTTAATTCCTTTTCCAGTCAACACTCAGGAAAGGGGTCGCAGTCATACAAAGGTTACCTGGGAAGACGGACGGCGATGGAGTGTTTCGAACCCGGGATACCCAGGTCACAAGTTAGTGACCTAACCAGTTGGCCACCACCGGCATTAACAACTAAAACTCTAAACGAAATGGTCAACCTTCCGCACGTGATTCCGGACCGGGGAGTGGGGGAGGGACGGGAGGCGTTGTGAATGGAGCTTATGAGTTGTGATCACCTATTACGATTTGAGACACAGATTAGTCGGATAGAAGTACAAATAACTCACAGAAGAAATTTCCGCTCAGTATTTGGTTTCCGATTTAGTGAATCACCCGGTCGGTACATCACCAGTATTTCAGATTTGCGAAGAACAGGTACAGTGGGATTGCTCGTTTACCATCATCGTGTCCCTCTCACCCGTGACCTTAAACAAGTAAATTTCCTCTGACCCTTTCTGTGATCTGATTGGATCATATTCCGCGATCTGCGGTGCTTAAATTCCCTCACCCCAACACGAGACTGTCTGATTACCGGCTTGTACGTTTTGTAATGATCTTGTGGTTACGTTCAGTCCATTCGTGTGCTGCACAGTCGAAATTCACTGGGCCTGTCTAAGACTCACGGCTGTAAACAAGGTGTGGTTTCTCGCTCGGGTTAGCTGGGCAAGCACCAGGTCCCTTGTTGC